TACATAGTCACAGATATGTAGATCAACAAGCAGAAACACAGTCACAGTAAACCAAAACCAAAAATGCAGAAAATTGACAGATGCATATCATCAAGACCAAAAATAAGTCAGCTGCAACAAAAAATTTATGTACACCAAACATGCATGTCACCCAACCAAAGAATGCAGAAACTCAGACCTGCACTTTTTATTGCCAGAAAACACCCAATACAAACCACAATGAACACTCTTGTCAAAAATCAAAAATTCAATAAACCAAAACAAAACACATAACAAACCATAAAACAACAAAAACATAAATTTATACTAAGCACAAATTGAGAGCTGCTGAATCACCAAAAACATAATCCAGCGACCATAACAAATCATAAATTAGCAAAAACATAAATTTATTCCAAAAGCAAATTGAGAGCTGCCGAATCTCCAAGAACATAAACCAACTAACACCAATTAAAACAGGAAATACCTAAGTTTGCAATGGTGGCTGAGATTGGCATGTTCTCTTGTTATGTCCCAATTGAGAGCGTTGTTTGCATCTAACAGCGGTTGACTCGTGCTCTTGGTCATAGCTGGTCCTTCACCCTCTTGTCTATTTCTTCTATTTTTAGGCTTGCCCACTCTTCTCTTCACTTTAGGTGGCCTAATCATTTCACTCTCAAATTGCTTGGAACTCAGTTTCAAGTATTGGATGAACGACACCCCTATAACACTCAGTATATCTCTCAACTGTGTAAAAGTCATGGCAAAAGTCTTCAATTTTAAGCCTCTTGTAACCAATTACAAAGATAGCATGTTTACATGGCAAGCCTGTAATCTCCCACCATGAACAACTACAAGTCTTCTTGCATAAGGATGAAATGCATGTCTTCTCCACTGATTGATAGGTATATTCATTAGCCATGCATGTGATTTTCCATTTAGCTTTTCAGATATTTCTTTCATATGCAATTTGAATTCATCACTATATGTGGATTTTGCATTAGCCCAAAATTCATTCCTGAGAGCTAAACTAGAAAACTCCTTAAAGTTCATCTCAATATGCCTACAACAGAACCTATGTAATGCATCGGAAAATCAAGTCTTGACTGCATCTATTAAGCCATGTTAAGCATGCCATTAAAAAAAATAAACATTCACACAAAGTTAAATGATAGTGGCAGACAGATATTCCACATGCTATATAAACATAATAAATTAAAGTGCATAAAGTTAAAGTGAATAAAGTTAAAATGCTTAAAGTAAAGATTCTAACATTTTGCCTATCAGACATAAATTTCCATGGCTTGTCTGTTTTTAAGTGACCAATGCATTGGTATAGACAATCTAAAAAGAACCCTCAAGACTCTTTACACTTAGACTCAACTATTGCAAAAGTAATGGGAAATACCCCTCTATTTGCATGTAAGGTCACAGCGGGCAAAAAACCTCTCCAAAAGGGCATTTTAGGTGCACCGATCCAATCCTATAAAAGGCCTACAAGCCTTGATGAGTCCATCTCTCAATGTCTTGAAGCATACAAATAACCTCCCAAATACAATAGGGTCAGCTTCCGAGTTTCTTGGTTTTGGTCTAAATTTTACAAAGGTACCTGGATTGTACCTTTGTAAAGCTATAATGTATCTTCTTAAATGATTATAGCTATCAGCATGAGAACCATGTATGTATGTTTTGGCTTGGGCTCTTGCCTTATACAACTGCCAACCTTCAACTTGAATCCCGTTTTTCTTTTAAAGTTCACCTTGCATTAACTCATAGCTCATGTTTGAATCTGAGTGAAGTTGATCTTGCAGCTTCTTCTTAACCCATCTAGTGGTGGCATTGAGATTCTTATTCCTAATTGGTCTTACACATAAATGTTCATCTTGTAAGGTCTTTACCATAAAAGCCATGTTGTCATTCATCTTTGATGCATGAAATCTCCAACTGTAACCTCCTGAATTGCATGACACAGTTACTCTCAGTATCATTCTTGTGTCATTTAATGATATATTTACCCTTCACAGCACAACCTCTCAAGGCCTCCCTCACTTCATATACACTAGAAAACACTTAACCACCCCTAAATGTGATATCCCCATCAACTAGTGCGACAAATAGATCATCATACATACTTCTAAATGGATCATCAGCACTATCATTCTTCTGCCTTTCATCAGCTTCAGAATCAATACTTCTTGAACCATCATCGGAGTCATTAATATCTTCATCAACAACACTAGAATCCCTAAGATTTACCTCCTCACCAACATTTTCAAATGATGGATTACCTCTCACAGGTGGTTCACGAATGATAAAATCATCATCCAATTCAAATTCATCTTCTTCATCATTTATGAAGCTAACACCATCATAGTCGCTATCACTACTATCACTGTGATTCACTTCATCCTCTACACTAAATCCCTCATTTCGAATACTTCTTTGCCTCCTTAGTTTGTAACTCTTAGTTTGACTTGCAGTGTCCACCTTTTCTTTCCCTTTTCTACTCTTCTCATTTGCTGGTCTTTGCACTTGTACATCTTTAGCAGTAGAAGTAGGAATCTGAGTTCTAGTAGCACGACCCTTCCTCTGCCTATGGACCTTCCCCTGCCCCTATCGATCCCTCTCTCAGATGACTCCTATATGTCTAAGACCCCATCCCAGATTTGAGCACTAGAAACATAACTTTTCCTCCCTTGATCTTGAACTTGTACCTATATTTTTTTTCAACCTCCACCTCATTTTGATAAGGAACTTCACCCGGATCCGCTGATGTGTATTCATTAGCCCCTACCTCAATATATGGTTCATTACCTCCTAGTTCAATATCCCCAACCTATTACCCCCTACTTCAGTACCCACAACCTCATTACTCCCTACTTTAGAACCCCCAACCTCATTACCCCCTACTTCAATACCCCGAACCTCATTACCCCCTATTTCAGTACCCCTAACCTCACAACCCCCTATTTCAGTAGCCCCAACATCATTACCCCAATTTCACTACCCCTAACCTCATTAACACCAAAATCAGTATCCCCAACTCTATTAGCATCAAAATCAGTGCCCTCAACTCCATTAGCATCAAAATCAGTACCCTCAACTCCATTAGCACCACAATCAGTACCTCCAACTTCATTAGTAGGCTCATTAGTAGACTCAATTACATTAGGCTCAATAAATTTAGATTGAACTTCATTTTCATTTACTTCATTACTCACACCTCTGCCCTATCATTAGGACAATCAATGATCATCACTTCATTTGGATTAGGAGGAGCAGCAGCTTCAACTACTATAGGTTGCACATTATTTATTGTAACATAAAGTTCAGCTTGACCAGTTTGCTTAAACATCTCAAACATGTGCATCAACTCCCTATCAGATTCTATTAAAAGGTTTCCTCCATATCTTATGTCAATGAATGTTGAATCAATATCAAACATTTTATATATATCATTCACCAAATCAAAGTAACAATACTATAAGGGTCAAAGCAATAGTATTAACAACTCCATCAAGATGGATGAAAAGATAATAGTATAATGGGATATCCATTCTAAAAAAAAAAAAAAAAAAAAAAAAAAAAAATTTTTTAGATTGAACTTCCATTTTCATTTACTTCATTACTCACAGAACCCTCTGCCCTATCATTAGGACAATAATGATCATATCACTTTCATTTGGATTGTAGGAGGAGCAGGCAGGCTTCAACTACTATGAGGGGTTTGCAACATTATTTTATTGTTAACATAAAGTTGCAGCTTGACGCCAGTTTTGCTTTAAAAGCATCTCAGAACATGTGATCATACTCAGCCTGATCAGATTCTTATTAAAGAGGTTGTCCTGCCATATCTTATGTCAATGAATGTTAATCAATATCAAACATTTTGATATATTATCATTCACCAAATCAAAGTAACAATACTAATAGAGGGTCAAAGGCAATAGTATTAACAACTTCCCCATCAGATGGAATGGAAAAGATAATAGTACTAATGGGAATATCCAATTCTAAAAAAAAAAAAAAAAAAAAAAAAAAAAAAAAAAAAAAAAAAAAAAAAAAAACACAAAAAACAAATCATTGAAAAAACTTAGTTTCATTCTCACTATAAAAATGCTAACTGTGTTTGAGTTCAACTGCAGCCTACTGAAGGGGAAAATATCAACCATTTGTGAACCAAACATGCCAAAATCTTTAATAAATTCACATACTTTATATGTAGTTTAGTTATTGTCGAAACATACTTTTTCTAGTTCAAACCCGGGCTTCGTTCCTTCAAATAGATTTCTGCCGAAGCTTTGCCCACCGATACAACCTAACTAGTGCAACGAAGTGGTTTTTGTAAGGTTTTTCCTGACTGAGTGCTATCCTGTGGTTTCCCTTAGCTTCAGTCTACGACAGTTGAAAGTAAGAGAGAGAGGAAAGGGAGGGAGAATGCTTGGCTTTTTTTTTTTTTTTTTTTTTTTTTTTGTTCCTAAGCTTTGTTTTTTGTCATTTTTTATTTATAAGTTATTTTAGGGTCTTTTTCGCTTTGAATAAACGGACAAAAAAATAGGTAATTTTAGGAGAAAGGACACTGTCATTATGACGGAAATAAAAATAACGAGACTAAAAAATGCCATTTCATGAAAAAAAATAAACAGTTGTTTCCCAATTATACATGAATGGAATTAGTATATTTCTTCCTCTCCCCTAAAACAATTTTATTCTGATCATCATCTTAAGGAAACGGGTTACTTATCCAAGCGGTTCCGTTGTGCTGTTTAAAAAATGTTGTATAAAAGCCTTTAATCGGTAGGAAGCACCGAAAGGTAACAGGATACTGGCAAAGTTTTTTTTTTTTTTTTTTTTTTTTTGTCCTAAGCTTTGTTTTTGTCATTTTTATTATAAGGTTATTTAGGTCTTTTCGCTTTGAATAAACGACAAAAATAGGTAATTTAGGATGAAAGGACACTGTCATATGACGGAAATAAAAATAAGAGACTAAAAAATGCATTTCATGAAAAAAATAAACTAGTTGTTTTTCCAATTATACATGAATGAAATAGTAATTTTCCCTAAAAACAATTTGATTCTGATTTCATCATCTTAAGGAACCGGGGTTATATCAAGCGGTTCCGCTGTGCTGTTTAAAAATGTTGTATAAAAGCCTTAATCGGTAGGGGAAGCACCGAAAGGAACAGATACGCAAAGTCAATTGCATTCGTATACAAAGCTTGAAAGAAAAGTAAAACAGGGTCTGAATTAATAATCAAGGCTGGGATTCTAGGAAAATGGCGTTGCAGTGGATGATACTCACTTACGCCGTGGCAGTGGAGGCGGTTCTAGCTGCAGTTTTAACCCTGCCCTCGCCGAAGCTGTTGAAATATCGATTGGTGTCTCTCGTCTCCCTCCTTCTCCAACCTGCTCTCTTCATCGTCCCTTTCGCTGGGTTTCAGCTCCTGGGTTTTCCTCTTTTTCTGTTTTTTCTTTGTTAATAGGAAATTTGAGTTTTTGGACATGTGATATGGAGGTGGGGTTCTCATCATTTTGGGGTTTTGGATTTATCAATGTGTGCAGATATCTACTGGAAGAATGAACATCGGTTGATGTGCACCTCTGAGATCTGCACTGCCGCAGAAAGGGATCGCTATGAGAAATCTGTGAGTCTTCCTTTCTTATTTAATTTATAACTATGATTTTGATGAGAAATTTGAAGGTGGAAATGTTTTTCAAAATTAAGCTTAAAATTCTGTTGAAAGTGATGAATAAAATTAGTAGTGATTGTCTGATTGGTGTTAACTTGTCCTTTGATTCCCAATTTGATATTAATGATATTGTGAGTGTAATTAGACTAACTAAATTGGATGCGTGGAAAATGTCTCCTGTTTTAAGCTTACTATTGCTGGATCTTACCAGAGAAATGAAATAGTATTTGAGTGTTTTCTGAAACCTGAAAGTTCATATCCCAACGAATAAGTACAAAAGCATGTAGGATGTAATCTTCAAATGCAGATCTGATAGTTCCGCAAAAGACACTACAGGCTGAATTAGATATGGTAACAGAAGAAGAATAAAATTATCTAAATTTTTTATGGTATTGTCCTTTATTCTTCTATTGTTCTTTCTTTTTGGTTCTAAAGCGTGCGGTGGTACCAACTGGAATGCTCTATAGGAGTCATCTTTTGTCCTTAATTCCTGGTAGAACCCTAAGAACATTAATAGCATGCTCTTTATTCTTTGTATTAGACATAGATAGGGAGCTGAGTTTTTATATTTCCGAGCATTTTGGTGTAGCATTGCACTATTTGTTGGATGACATGCTTGCACCTTAAACCCCATAAAAGGTGGTAGTTTTACTGAAGTGCAGGGCTGGCAATTATAGAAGCAGAAGACAAATCTTTGCTACTTCTTCATTTAAGAACAAATAGGAAAGGGGAAATAACAAATTATGACAACTGATTAGGGGCAAACCATGTCTCCAATCCTCCCTAATATTTTAGGATGGTTACCATATAGTTACAAACTTCAATCTTCCTCTAGACAATCAATTGATTAGGCAAAATCATGTCTCTAATCTTTGGATGACTGCTATATATGTATATAATGCAATATATATCTAGCCTATCAACCAATTAAGGGTTGTCATGTCCAAAATCTTAGGATGTTTACCATTTACACACATTGTACACTTTCTCTTAGTCAACAAATTAATAAGGGTGAATCATGTCTCCTATCGTCTCCCAAATCCCAAGATGGTTGCAATATATGTGCAGTTATAGACCTTTTCATTTCTATGACAACATGTATATCAATTCAACATTAAATTAGTAATGCAATTCACAATTTATTCTCTCTTTTATTTTTAGTGTTCTTAGTTTTGCTAAATTTCTAACCGTCATCCCTGTGATCAATCAAGAGGGCTTAATGAACAAAAAAAGCCTAATCTTTGATTTTCTTTTTAATTTTGGTTAATACTTTTAATTTTGTCAATAATACCCTAAACTTATTTTTCTTGGTCAAGTTTGACCTTCATCCAGATTCTGTTAGAAAGTAGCTTATGTTGTCATTAGTGGGCCCTAGGAAGCCACCTCACGCCATGTCATTGTATCAAAAGGGCTCAACCTGACATTTTTTTTTTCAATTTTGGTGAATACTTCTAATTTTGTTCATTAGTGGACCTCACACCAAAATAATTTTGAGAAAATAGGGAGATGATAGTAAAAAGAAATTGTCTTCAACAAAATGAAATATAAATTAAATTTCAAAATGAACCAATTTTGAATAAACCAATAGTTTTAAAATTTAGTGAAAATATATAATTTTTTTATAAAAAGATAAATATACTCATAAATTTTGAAGAACTAGAATTATTAATTTTCATACAATAAAAATAAGTGTATAATTTTTTTTCTCTCCCTTTATATACAGTATATATTATTGCCTTTTCTTCAATGAGCCAACTTTGACACTCCATGTCCTCACACCCGTGCATCTTCATTCATTCAAATTCCCATTTTATCACCGTTATTCACTTGCTAGTTTCTTATGGACTCTAGACAGAGGTCGAAATTGATAGGGAAAAATAAGTTCGAGATACTGATTGAAAAATTAAAAGTATTGGTTAAAATCGAAAGAAAAAAGCTAAAGTTCAGGTTTTTTTGGTCATCAAGTCTTTTTGATACAATAACTTGGCGTGTCCATGTGGCACTGAGGTTACAATATGTGGGTCCCACTAACGGTGACACCTGTTAGTTTCTAACAGAATCTGGACAGAAGCCAAATTGAAAAGGAAAGATAAGTTTGGGATATTATTGACAAAATTAAAAGTGTTGGCCAAGATTTGAAAAAGTGCCAAAGTTCGAGGGTTTTTTTGATGGTTAAGCCATCAAGAAACCACAAAATGCATCCTCAATTCCAGTTGTTTCCTAACTCAATTCTTCTACTCCAATAGCTTTATAGGTTATTCAAGTGTAGTGGAATATAGGATTATGCGCAATACTTTATACCATCATTTTTATTTTTGTTTTGATTTCAAAACCATTGATGCTAGAATTTGGAGCTTTTTATGTCAGTATTACAAACACTGTTCTTATGTAGGATTAGGCATCTTCTTTTATACTAGAGTCCCTTTCCAGCTTAATAGGCCTTATTCTAGGATCCTGTTGCAGCTTGATAGTCCTTACACCTATAATAACTATTATCATTAAATGGATTAGAGTTATGGGTGCATGTGTCTGTTTTATGACTTTTGAAATATGTTAAGAAGTTTGTGATTTTTTCATTCTTACAACTTCGAATGGGAAACAGTGAAACCTTGTGATAACTTTGATTGGGGATTATTGAATTATGAAATGGATACAAAGCAATGTATTAAATATACCCCCCTCTAGCGCAGGGCCATGCATGGGGTAAAAATAAGGCTTACCCAAGTTTGATTTTAGCTTGTTAATGACAGACATTGACAAATTAGATGTTTCGTGCGAGACTATGCCTCCAAGTACATGCCTATACTTTCAACCAAGTAACAACCATACTTTAATTTTCTTTGTTTCTCATGCTATGATACCTAAAATGCTCTCTTTTTGATTTAATCAAATCCTGAAGATCCTCTTGATCACTTTCTTCATTACATATATGAAGATTGATTTTGATCCCATTATCAAGTTTAAATAACTTATTGCTTTTTCCAAATTTTGGCTGTGGGGGTAAAATTGCAATTGAACAAATGAATTGGGATGCAATTGTAACAAGCAACAAAGTTTGGGGTAAATGAATAATGAAGCCATTTTTTAATGGTAAACGGTAATTATACGTATAACTTTTTTCCCCTCTAATCTGAAAAGCTTTCTATTATTTCCTCTCTCTCTCTTTTCTCCCTTGTCTTAGTTTTCTTCACTAAACCCTAAGCTAGCATTCTTTTTCTCTTTCAATCTTAAAATTCTTGAAAACTCAATCCATAATCAGCAATAACAAGCAAATTAGAGCCACAAAAGCTGTACATCATAATAATGATGAAGCTACTGCGAAGGTTACTAACTTAGATATAAGAAATTACTTGAAATCTTTGTGTATTCACCCTGAATTGAATTGTTTGGGATTCTTAAGTGAAAGAATGATTTTCTTTTCAACTAAGAGCAACCTCTATGAACTGTGTCCTAGCCTGTTATGGGTTACTTATGCTATACCATTCTCTAATTCAACACTGAGGTGAATTTAACTATGAATATCCTGAATTTTGCTCTCTGTTGCCCTAGCGGGCTCCTTTCAATTCTCTTGTGATTGTGCTGATTTATAGGATTTACAGCAAAAGCAAGTTGTCATGTTCTGTTTCAAGACCGAATCCTGGTAGAGTTTTTTTTTCTAGATGGAGCCTCCTTTGGAGGTCCAAAGAGAGTAGTGGGATGGAATTATGGTACATGATTTGTAGATGAAGAAGAAAGGATGTCTAAAACAAATAGAAATCGATCTAATGAAGGCCAAAGAGAAGAGTGTGAATATAGTTAAAGATGAATGCTCTTTTATAGGTATATGAGAATGAAGATTTGTCCATTTTGAATTTGCTTAGCCTTGATCGAATGTGGTCAAGATGAGACATTTGCTTCCTTTGGAAGATTCTTGAGTAAAAATGTGGGAATGATAGATGAAGAAGAAAGGATTAATAGAAGAAACAAATAGAAATCATCCCAATAAAGGCCAAAGAGGGGTGTAATATAGCTAAAGATGAATGCTCTTTTGTAGGTATATTAGAATGAAGATTTATCCACTTTGAATTTACTTTGCTTGATTGAATGTGGTAAAGATGAGACATTTGCTTCATTTGGGACATTCTTAGCAAGGATCCAATTTTACCTGACTCGGTAGGTACCCAATCCGGTCTGACCCAATTTCGGTTATATTTAATATTGACATTATATTTTTATTAAGTCAAAATATAATTTTCTAATATTTACGTATTTTTATTTTTAAAAATATCAAAATGAAGAACATATATTTAATGTTAAACGGGTATTTAAATGGGTAATTGTAATAGGTTTCGGGATGGATTCAAGTAATAAAAGTAAATTTCCAAACGGGTTGAACACCTAATGTATAATCGGGTTTGGGTTCGGGTTCTACATTTTAAGCGGGTACCCAACCCATTGCCAACCCTATTCTTGGGTGAAAATGTGGGGATGATATTTTTGAAGATTTATTTTATTGATTGATTGGTCATATAGGATTTGCATGGAGATTGATATTGGTGCAGTTGGTGGTGAGGAAGATGATAAGGAAGAATGCATTCCATGATGAGATAAAAAAACAAGAGACTTATGTGGTTTAACTTTTATTAAAAAAAATATTATTAAATTTCAGTATAGAGTCCCAATCAACATTCCAAGTTATCTTTGGCTGGAATGTAATGTTACAACTTAAATAGATGTTCAATCATTTTCATGTCACAAGTTAAAATTTGAGGTGATGATGTTCATAAGTGATAATTTGAGGTATCATTGGTGAAATTGAGCCTTTATCTACTAGCACATAGGGATGAGCATTATTCCGTTAATATTGAATAACCAAACTGACCTGATGCTATTTTGTCTATTCGGTTTGTTAAATATAAAATTTGGTTTGGTTTAGATTTTAATATTGAGAGTTTCGATTTTTGATTTTCGGTTTGGCTTTGAGTTCTCAAGATTGTAGAAACTTTGTAAACTGAACAACTTCAAATAAATCAAGACAACATGAGTGGATGTGTTTAATTCAGATGTATATGATGTGAACTTAATTATAGCTTCTAGATTGAATCCCGAGCAGTATAATCAGCTTGCTGCTATTGTATATGCTTCCTAATTTTTCTCAGAATATTTAAGCAGCTTTCATAATTGTATGAAATATGATAAACGTGCTTGATAAAATTAATATTTTTCGAGGTCACCTTGAAGTTTCCACAGTTTGATTTGAAATGGGAAATGGGAAAATTTAAAAGGGTTTTACTTTTAGTTTTATTATTGTTGTTTTTTTCTGCTCATTCCCTATGCTCTCACCTGACAATCCCTCAGTAGAACGTTCTCATAAATCAAGTAATGCACATATATAACATATGCAATCCTGAATTTATTAAATGTGGAGTACTTCTGTTTTTAGTTGGGATGGAAGCACATGTAGGCATAGCATAGCTGTAAGTGAATATATGACTCAAGGCATACCTAGGTTTGATTTCCTCCTTCCCCAGAATCAAGAAAATAAAAGGCCTAGGATGAAAGACTGATTTTCAGCCATTTCAGTCCCTTCTATTGAGGAGTCTGTGATGATGGTGTATATATATCTTTTGGATAATTAAGATGGGAGACTGAGTTTTATTGACTTTGGTCGCATCCATAGAGACTATGTGATAATGGAGATTATATCTTTGGCCAAATGAATAAAATTGCTCTTGAACTTTAAAGTTTAGTCCCTGAAGCACCCTGAAGATTTTGAGACTCATCATATGCCCCATTGAAGTTCCAATTTTTGTTATAAACAAGTACCTTCAAGGGCACACAATAGTCTCCAAAAATTTTTACTAAAAATTGGATCCATCAACCCTAAGGTGCAAGATTGTTACTGAAAATTGCAACTTTAGGGACATGATAGATATCTCAAGAACTTGGAGTGTCACAAGAGTAAATTACTAGGCCATTTTGTCTTACTGCAAACTTCCAGTTAATTATTTTGTGTTGATGAGCTTTACCGTTGTGCAGATTTACAAATCCCAAAGGAATGTGATCTTATGTGCTTCAGCTTGCTTGCTCTACTGGTATGGGGCAATTAACTTGGCATATATACTTTACAGTTTAGAATTTTACTTGAAAGTCTAAACTTGTGTGTATATGATCATAGGTGTATCTATCGTATATGCAAATATCATAAAGAGATTCAGAGTTTGGAGGAGGTGGAGAAGAGGTACAAGGACCAGTAGTTCAGTTCTCTGTCCCACTTCAGCATTGGGAGCACACAACAAATTATACTTCTTGTTGTCAGTGTTTTGTTATGAACTTGGATTTGTGAATTCATGCCCTTTGCATGTTTTTGTAATTGAATCAAAAAGTCATATGCTGGGTTGAACGTAACTACTATTTTGGTTCTGTAATCGAGCTAGAATCACTCTGTATTTGGATTGTATTGAACTGAACCAAATGACAATCTATTAATTTTTTTTAAAAAAATTAGTATATAAACAATCATATTTTATTATTAAAATATACTTTTTAAAAAAACTTGGATATATCAGATAGTCTGCAACAATCATATTTTACTATTGAGAAAACATTTGACGATTAATTAGTTGAAACAATTCATTGCATTATAACTAATATTTTAATAATATGGCAATTCATAAATGTATAAATTTATATTATATACAATCTCAAATATATTTAGATCATGATAATATATTTTAATCACATATATTTAGAATGCTAAATGTAAATAAAACAATACCAACGCCAGTTATTCATTTGTAATAAAAAAAAAAAAAAAAATACCAACGCCAGTTATTCATTTTATTGAGAAAACATTTACGATTAATTAGTTTGAAACCAATTTCATTTTGCATTTATAAACTAAATTATTTTAATTAATATGGCAATTTCATAAATGTATAAAATTATATTAATATTACAATCTCAAATATATTTAGCAATCATGATAATATATTTTTAAATCACAATATATTTAGAATGCTAAATGTAAAAAAAACAATACCAAACGCCAGTATATCTTTGTAATAAAAAAAAAAAAACAATACCCAACGCCAGTTATTTCATTTGAAATCTAAGTTGATATTAACTGGGAAAAAATAAGCTATGGTTATAAAGGATGTTAGATGAAAAAAGTTTGTGTTTGAAAAACAATACCAACGCCAGTTATTCATTTGTAATAAAAAAAAAAAAAAACAATACCAACGCCAGTTATTCATTTGTAATAAAAAAAAAAAAAAACAATACCAACGCCAGTTATTCATTTGTAATAAAAAAAAAAAAAAACAATACCAACGCCAGTTATTCATTTGTAATAAAAAAAAAAAAAAACAATACCAACGCCAGTTATTCATTTGAAATCTAAGTTGATATTAACTGGGAAAAAATAATATGGTTATAAAGGATGTTAGATGAAAAAGTTTGTGTTTTGATTTGTATTATTCTAGTTTGTGTTAATGTCATCGAAATACTTGGAATATATTGAACACGATATTAAATGGTGAAAGTTGGTGTTTTTAAATTTCAAAGTGTTGCTTAAGGAAAGTCGTTGTAAATTGAATTTCTCTAAAATCTAATGGAACATTTTGAGTTATCTTGACATAAACTTGATTCTCCATGAATAATGATATTGTGGAATAATCTAAATGATTTGAATTTGAGGACATTGGATTGTATTTAATTAAAGCATTAATTATAGTTTATATATTTTAGTGAGATTTACATGGATTTTGGTTAATGGGACTTGTTATAACTACAAAAGGCAAACACTTCCTTTTTGATGAATTGAATAAATTACTTAAATAAATTGAATAAAGTTTGAATGATACATGGTTTTGTGTGGTTCACATTGACTATGAGAAATGACTACCTTCCATGAGAAATGACCTTAGGTAGTGTAAAGACTTAACATTTATAAGTTATATGGGTATCCAACACTAATAATATTGTCCATTCTCTACCAACCTTTAATGGACAACCATAAATCTTGTAATATATGTAACTGCAATTATGTAAATAAACAGTAATGAAGTCCCATTTATATGTATTCTCACTTTATTCTTATAGAAAATCTAACTTCAAAGAAAAATTGATCTACAAAAGCCAATTACAGGTTTTGTAGAAAATCCAATTATATGAACCTATTTATCTATAAGCAAATAATACAACCAAATTCATCTACAACATGTTGAATGAACTAAATGGTTCCTGCTGAAAGGGGTCCAACATAGACTTCGCTAGAACATTTCACTAAAAGTGGAATTGAACGCTATGAGGAATTTACTGCTATAATTGGGTGACCATTACTTTCAACAATGCAGGTGGGGATCAAGTAAAATTTTCAGTTCTTTACTAGCACAGTCCCAAATCATTTATTGACTTATAATATCCAATTTAACAATTGCATTCTAATAGAACAGTTTACCTTTTATAACGATTTACCTTTCCTTTCCATTGGGTTCTCTCTTGCAGCATGGAACTGAATTAAATCTACACCTACAACGATTAATGAATACGTTGACTGAAATAACCCCTGCTAAACATACCCGTGTGAGATAACATTACTTTATATTTAAATTGATAACATAAAATTTTGCATATATTGGTATAAGTAATATTAAATGTTTTCGGTCTTAACTAGCACTTAAATTGTTTCCCATATTTGCTACTTCACAGTTCTCGCATTCCTTCCGCTTTATAGATGATGTAGATTTTTTCAAACTATAATCATCACCTGTAGAAGATTCCTGGTTCAATTTACATACTTTAACTTGTTCCCATTTCGTCTCATCAACCTCTAAAGGATGGGGCTTGCCATATCTAATTGGCAACACCTAACAATCGTAAAACAAATACTAGAGAAGATTATTCTACTCAAACACAGTACTTATAAGTATAACCTCTCTTCAGCCATAGCCACCAGCACTTTGCATACCAGAAGCATTAACATCCTGTATATCACCCTTATCCCAAACGCAAAGCCTTGGGAAAACATTCCACTTCATTGACCTACTTAAAATCAAGATGATCAAGATAGAAAATCTACCGAGAGTAACAGTACCAATTTTATCAAATAATATGAAAATCTACCGAGAGTAACAGTACCAATTTTATCAAATAATATAGTCATATTTATATTACAATCACTTTCATACAAAAAAACCATAAATATTTTGATTCAGAAGTTAGGTAATTAGATATCATACCTTTAAGAACAATACACAATCTCCTAGGTCGCTAGCCTTTCCAGACTTCTGCATTGACTCCTTAAACTATTCAATGCTTCTAACTAACTGTAGCAACACAAATTCAGCCCAATTAAATTCCTTTATAGCTTCTACATTAGTAACAACATCCATTAATTGCATGCTAAACCTACTGCATTTTGTTGGACATGGAAACACACCAAGTGTGTACAACAAGAAGTGTTGTTGGAACTGCAGTTTTCGCATACTATTCCTTATTCTCTTCATCGCCTCCGCCTCCATCACTGCTTTACATCCACCATACTCAGCTGTGATGCGTCTAAGTAGTTCTTCATGACCAATTTTTGGCCCAAAACCAAAATGACCACTTCTTCCAGATGGGATGCCCAATACCTAACCCACATGATTAGAACAATGTCCAAATTGATACTCCATTTGGTAGACTAATGCACACTTTCTCTGTGTTGAATTTCTCATACAACCAATAGCAGAACTTCGATTTATAACTATTTCTTGCATTTTCAATAGGACTTCAAACCCCAAATCCTTTCACAGCTCTTCGAACCCCCAAATCCTTCACCCACTTCTTTAGTTTTTCTGTCAACTCACTAAGCAGTGCTCTTAGTGCCATTGGCCTACATCTTATGTTTAGGCTCCGTATTGAGACAAATATATTATCATGTCCTTTATACTTATAGCTGCCTAACATACTTAAATAAAAGAAACCTATAATAATGCAACATGGCCTCAAGAGAACACACACCATATTATTTTTCTTTGTTCTCACATATGACCCATAACGGTTCTTGCAACATTCATCCGACTCGATCGGCACAACTACACAACTATGCCTATCATTATTATGGATGCTTAAATTTTGCCCTGGCAATGTTACTCAGCATTGATAACCTTTTTTGCTCTAAAATAAGATCGGGTCATCTGATAGACTTGATTCTTTGACCGTGATCTGAGTTTAAAAAATTGAGTTGTCAGGCTATTTTTGCATTTTAGGGTTTCCTGGGGTTTCACATCGAAACAAGGCCTGGGAAGCGCCTCGGGTTTGCCCGGGAAGCATCCTGATACACTGTCTTGTTTTGCATGCCATCCAAACCATTTTTGCAGCCTGGTTTTGGGATGTACCATGTAGACCCCAAAATTAAGGCCACCTAATCACACCATTTACCTATAAATAGGCCAAAGGTTAAAGGTTAGGGGTTGAAAATTTTTCTAAGGGAGAATTCTTGCATAATATTTTCTAAGCTTTAAGATTTGAGATATAAACAAGTTTTGTATTCTCTAATCTCACAAGCTATGCATTTTTCATCAAACTTCCCTTGGATTTCATGTTTGTTTTCCATAAATACTCATCTAAATCACTGTAAATCGGATTAATCACCAAGCATCAAGGACTTTGGGTGTTCTCAACAATTTTCATTCAAATCTTGGTTTTTTCTTCAAGGCAAGGTAAATCTGAGAGTCTGATTTCATTTTCTTCATCCTTTTCTTTTCCTTGGTGATTAAAATCACCTTTTAGAAGCCTGGTTCTGAGGGAAGCCCATGATCAACCAAACAGAAGTCTATCTGCACAGAAGTGGCGTGCCTTATAGCTAAGTGGCGCACGCCACTTCCCTATAGCCAAACACTCCGATATTTCCTTTTCTGTGTTCTGGTTTGGGTAAGCCCCGTATGCCACAAGAGTTATGGCACATGCCATAACGTATAGTGCATGTGGCTTCATTTCGGAAACTCAGATTTAATTTTCATGCAGCCTAACTCTAATATGTGGGCCTTTTTGAATCTAACACTAAGCGTTAATGCTTATTATAATGCCATAACGTATAGTGCATGTGGCTTCATTTCGAAAACTCAGATTTAATTTTCATGCAGCCTAACTCTAATATGTGGGCCTTTTTGAATCTAACACTAAGGGTTAATGCTTATTATAATATTCTCAATTCATTCTGACCTTAATAAACAACAATAATCAATAAATAGATTGCGATAGTCATATTTTTTCATCATCCATGATGAACATCAAATTATTGAATCTAAATCTTATTTTAAATTGAATCTAAATCTTATTTTAAATTGAATCTAAATCTTTTTATCTTACTATCCTTTATATTTCTGCACTTTAAATTCCCATCATTTAAGGTTCAAGCATTTTATTTTTATGCTTTATTTATTATTAACTAACCCATTAGCTTTTAATTTAGTCTTTAATTATTTTGTCATTTAAATATTGTTCATACTTCCTTTTGTTATTAATTATTATTGTGATCTATGATTCTATGATTATCTATAATTAGTTTGTTTGTGTATGGTTTGATATCATTTAATGCTTTGTTATTATATTGAGTATAATGTAAAGAGTTCATAATGAGCTCTAATTAATTGCAAATTATAATAGATAGGGGGTTTGAGAAATGTTAATGGGATTGAAAATGTATTTTAGGATTTGGTTTGTAATTATTTTCAACTTCCCCTTTCTTTACATGGTTTTGGTTTGATGTTTTGCTTTATGATTAATTGCTAATAATGCATTTGAGTGTCATGTTTTATAAAAATGCATTAAAATCATTTTTAGCATCTCAATTAGAGTTATACCGATATTGTGTTGTGAATAATTGGACAAATGATGGAGGTCAGTTTATGGCTGGGCAATCTGGGTGCCTAACATCTTCCTGAGATTATACCTAACTTCTGGTTAAAACTGATTCGATTATTTCAAATGAAATGGTCGATTCGGGATTTTCCTTAAAGAAGGTGGCAACTACAAAAATAAATTCTTACCAAAGTAAGAGCCTTCTTTCTCAAAACTCCCATTTTCAAAATAAAGACGCATTTCTAAAGGTGAAACGGGTTTAATAAAAAAAATCGATTTTATAATTAAAATAAATATAACCCTGTTCCCCATCCCAAAAGACGCATATCCAATTATCTTCTTTGTTTCCTTCCTCTCTGCATGTGAAAACAAACATAAATTCTATCTAATTCCTTTCATTGAATTATTAAGTTATTCCTACACATTCACATTGATATGTCTCACACATTCACATTCAATATAATCCTCTTCATTATAATTCCTTTATAATCACATTACGATGTTCTAATTCCATGAACAATCATTTCTAATTACATCAAATTTAAAACTAAACTTTACAAAGTTAAAGACCCAAGGCTCATGTACTCTAAGCCACCATAGTCACCTATAATCAAAAGTTTAGCTACAAACAAAATAATTCATATTGATTATACTCGGCCTCGCGAATTTGCAGTTGACACTAACCCAACTCATATAAAATCTCACAGTTGAATAATGAAGTGCTTACCTCGACATGCCTATTTGTTCCACTTGCTTGCTCCTTTGCTCAATCATTCAACTTAATCAAGTTCTCTCTTTTGATTTCTAGGGTTTCTTCATCCATGGTTCCCTGCTCATTGAGCCTTGAAGATACAATAACCCCTCTTTTGCATATTCTGTTTACTCGCAATACAACTGCTTACTTTTACTTTGTACCCTTAATATTTAATACGTTCATACGCTCTACACGTAAATATCCTTTATTGTACACTACAAACTTAGACCCCACTTTGTAATTTTTCTTCTTTAAAATGTCACCGTGTCATGGCCCGAGTCGTGTCATCTATCACCACCCTTTCACAAATACAGGTTTGGCAGTTTTGACTCTAAAACTATAAACCAACCAAAATTTTGGTTTATAAAATTTTCAAGTTAAACCAAATCAAACTATCATTTTTCTAAAACTATGGTTTTAAGTCGGTTTGGTTTGATTTGAATATATTTAAACGTTTTGAGCTGTTGGATATACCAACATACATGGTTGTGCCATCATGACAGGAATAAAAATGACAAATCAGCAGCCAAGGATGAACGGTATCTTCAAGTGATTTTTGAATTTGTTTTGAGTAAGAAAAGTGAACTTGAGGGTTTTAGAGTAGTGTGCAAAAGAATTTGTGTAATAGTAAAGCGAATTTTAGGGTGTATTACTTTATCGTACTAAAGTTTTAATTTGTCACCTAAAAACACTTTAAATTCTATTTGTGTAATAGTAAAAGAAATCTAATTATAATCTAGTAGAAACTATACTAAAATGCTGATATTTACTATCCAATGAGTAATGAAATCAATTTTTAAAACAAACTAAATAAATACGAACAAATTAGGAAGTAAAGAAATATACGATTACAACTCAAAATGGGAATAACAAAAATTATAATAATTAAAATAAGAAATAAATCGAAAACTTCCAAAACTAATGAGCTTAACATGACACAGCCACACCAGGTCATGTCCAACTTCTTTGTGCTGGAAAAGGTGTAGTGCATAAATTTCACTATGTATTTTCAGCAAGTATTTTTGTTGCACTTGAACTTTGCGAAGAACACATCATGATTCTGTATTTTTACATTTCAATAATAACTGTGACTCTCAATAAAATGAAATGTAAAAGTATAAGGTTATGATTGAACCCTTGCAAAGACATTTCATTTTGGTAAGGGATATAGTTATTACTAAAATATAAAAGTGTAGGATCATGATTTAACCCTCGCAAAATTCAGAGGTCACAAAGATATTCAGTCGATGTTCATGCTCAAATTTATACATTAACCCTGTTTGATCCTCTATAATAACATCTCATTACGTTTGATGTCTAAATATTGATTCTACTGCTCAGGAGTTATGGCCACTTTGTTGACTGCCTTAGGCCAAGCTCTAATGTCGTGGGCTGAGGACCATAAAACTATAATCATGCAGGAATGAGGTAGCGTCTGCCATCAGTGCTTAGGGTGGTCATGTGCCCTGTAAGGGTGTCTTAAATCGAAATATCAACACTTGACTGATAGCCTGAGCCAACGGAGACAGTGATTAATACACTTAGTAGTCATTTTTTTTCTATTTATTAGAAAATTGTATTTAATGATAACTTTTAAAAGCATATTTATGCTTGAAAAATAAAAATATTAATGAGTTGACTTGTCCTGAATTCTGGACCTTGATTTGATTGAATTAATGCAGCTGTCTTTCTGGCAAGCAGATAGAGTAATCAAAAAACAAATATTTGACCCTTTTTGTTTTGAACTGATCAAACCATATGAAGTCCGTGGTATATGTAATTCCTTAAATCAACAGGTTTGAAGAGAGACTTATTCCTCATTTCAATTGCTGGGACTAGACTTGGTAAACCTAACTTTGATTCTTCATTAATTTACTCAAACAGCAATTATTTAATGGCCTTGGCAGATGCTATGTAGAGTGGTGGGAACCATAATTGAAACCTAGAACACCAAAAAAAATTCAAAATTTAGAAAAGTCTATATACGTGAAAAAAATCACTATTTTAACAAATAAAATTTAAAATTTCACTATTTTAAGGAAAAAAAATATATATATAAATATTTGGACTAGGGCCACATCCAGCTACTCATGTTCGGGCCACCACGCGCGCGCGCGCGCGCGTAGTATATTTGAAAATGTGTTAGCAAATGGTTGCATGTGTACACAAGTTGGCACACATTTTACATGTACAACATGTTTTCCCGGTTTATATATCCAATTATATAACTTTTTTTTTTTTTTCTGGTAAATGTAAAAGCAAATGCTTTGCTCACTTTGTGAATCTGGGAATTAACTCTATTAAGTGCTAAGAATCAAATTCAAATAAATATAATATTTAAGAATAAATAAGTCAACCCTAAGATATTTGCTCAAACATTATTTTATATATTATTACTTCTAGGGATAATTTTAAGGGCATAGTTATATTTAGCTATAAATATGCATACTTGGTAATTTAGCTAGATACATCCAATTGTCGAGCACCGGATTTCATACTTGGGATAGTTTTAAGGGCATAGTTCCCTGCATGAGCGTGGTGTATTCAATTTTGCACAGGACTGACACACACAGAGCCTGACCTTGGTCCCCAATATTAAAAAAAAAAAAAATTCAATTTTTAGTATTAAAAAATTAAAATAATATATTTTAGTTTGACCTCTCATTAATCAAAATTATGATTTGGCCCCTGATTCTTTAGGTTGGATCGGCGCCTCATTATGCAAGCTTGTTTCATGGAATATTTTATAGGTCACAAGTTTTGGTACTAATTAATAGCTAAAATTAGGCTGACTGAACAAATTTAAGAAAACAAATGGCTATATATAAACTATATTATATTCTCCAAAAATTGAAATGGCTACAATTTTAACCAAATGTGCACATATAATATATATAGTATATATATATATATATTAATATATATATATATATATATATATTAAGAAATGAATATATATAAAGAACTGAATATAATTGTTAATTCAAAATGATCGTTTTAAATTCTTGAAATCTAGAGAGTCGATGCATTCCGATCCATCCCTGTAAGGATTCATGACTTTCAAAAGCTCAGTTGCTTTCTCTTTTGTGTCATCACTACAGCCAACCTGCAAAAGCAAGACTAGCTTTTGAAAAGCACCAACTTGAAGACACTCAACCAGAACTCTCTCTTGTCTTCCACATTTATGGAGCTTCCAAATGGATGAAACAGAATACTCCGTGGCCAGTTGCGAAACTCTCAAGATTTTCTTCACTAGTACTGGCCATGTCAGGGCATTACCGTAAGCCTCTTCTCTTCCCTGTTTCCAATCACAAAGTTTATCAAAAACCCCTAAAGCTTTCTCGCACGTGCTCCTCTCCGAGTCTATGATGATTTCTATCAGTAAAGAGACCAAACCCATCTCCACCAATGCAGATTTGATCTTGTCGCTTGATGATGAATGGGTTGAAAGTAGATAGAAAATAACCATGAGAGACGCTTTGGTCATTGTAGGAGAAATCGGCTCTTTAATGAACCTACACAACACCTCAATATTTACTCCTTCAATGGATGCTAGAGCTTCTGCATACTGTTGATCTGAAGAAAGAATCTTTTTAAGTGCACTAATGGAGTTATGCTTGGAGGAAATTCGGTCTCTGCTTTCTAATAGCCAAAACATGCAACGTAGAGAATTGTTTGAACCTAAATAAAATTGTGTTTCCATATCAAGTGGAAACGTTAATGAATTCATTGTAGATAATATTTCCTCAAAAACTTTAGCATTTGTTTCAAAGGAATTGTGAGTTGCAAATGCATCAAAAGTTGCAGCCAATGAAGCACTTGCTCCATTGGCTACAATGCAACTCTTGTTTCGGTGACTCTCATTGGCCCAACTGTTGATCTTTTGAATCAAATCAAGACATTCGAATTGATCCAAGCGCTTTGTTGCGGCTTCAAGACTTGAAAGAACATCAGAGATTTGAATTGGAGAAACAGGAACTCTAGGAGTTGGGATGCGTTGGATACCGTAGTTTTGATTGTCCACACACCAATTTTGAATCATTTTCCTAAGAGAATGATTAGGAATTTGATCGAAACTCCTCAAGATTTGATTGGTTACTGGGCAAGTAAAATTGCCAGCCTCAAGCCATGCCTCTATGTTTTCTCGATCATAAGTTATCCCGGAAGATAAAGTTACAGGATCTTTCATAAGTTGAAGAGATATCGGACAAATAAAATCATTTGGGATGACCAACTCCTCCAAATTATTCGACTTGCCAGCCTCTTGCTTCTTCTTCTTCTTGCCACCATTGTTTCTATTTCTTCTCCACCCAAAAATCATTTCTGGAAATGAAGCAAAACTTTGTATTTTTTTATCTCTTTCTCTTAGTCTACTTGAAATATATAATACAAAAGAGAATTGATTTTATATATATATATATATATATAATATATATATATATAATATATCTAATATATATATATATAGAGAGAGAGAGAGAGAGAGAGATGGGTTATGCTCAAAGTGCGGCTTTCCAGAGTTCTCACACACGGCATTCAAATTAAGTTAAGACCTTAGCACAGACGCTGAAAGAATTCAATGAAGAAACGTTCAAATTAGAGAGTTTTCTTTCTTTTTCTGGTTTTTTATTCTTTGTGTTTAGTGTGGGGTTTTGAATATTTGAATGTTGAACGTTTGAAAGGTTAATATAAATATAATTAACGTCGAAGGAGACAGAGGGAACGAAAGACGTGATTTTGGCGCGTTGACTAATTGTTGATATACAGTCAAAACAATTAATTGTTTTCAAACCCCGCAACTTCTTCAATTTTATGGTATCAGCCCCTTATGCAGTTATGCTTTTTTAATCGCTTGTGCAAACAGTTCGCACATATCAACATACATTTTGTTGCATTATCCCTAATTCAATAATTTGATACCTTTTAGTAAGTCTATGAGCATATAGTTAATTTTATGGGTTTTTTTTTAAAAAAAAAATCTTTAACTCTATCATTTGCTAATATAATGAGTTATATCATAATTTTATATTATATAATAATTTTATATTATATATATATATTATATATAAATTCTAGGGAGTTTTTTTTTTTTTAAGTTTTGGGGAAGAGAAGAGAGATTCCAATCTGAATCTATTGTTAGATCGTAATACATTTACCACTAAATTATATCTTGATGTGCATTTCTAGTGAGTTTTATTTTCTATTTTATATCAAAAAATACTCCATCCGTCCTATTTTATTTGCTTGTTATTTTCTTTTTGGATGTCCCAAAATATTTATAAGGTTTCTAAAAATGTACATTTAAATAATTATTTTTTCCATTACAACCTTTATGATTATTCATTAAATGAATGATTTTTTCATTAAATGAATGATTTTTATTAATATCTTAATGAGAGGTGAAAAAGGGTAAAATAATTTTTGTTGACTAAATTCTTAATATGCGTATTTTGTCGAACCATGCAAACAAAATGGACGGAGGAAGTATATTTTTTCTATATACATTTTTTATTAATGTCACGATCCATTTCCATGGGCCAGACCGTCACTAGGGCCCAAGTAAGCTTAAGGCCTCCGAGGCTTGTAGTAAGCCAAATCACTAAAATTTCACTTTCTCAATATAAATTTCAAACATTCAGCCCATATAACTATGCAAAACAAATTTCATAATTATATTATATCTCGACCTAAATTTTACATCTTAAACATTTCACATATCGAGCCAATTTACAATACATCTCTTTTATAATATAGGCTCACAGAATTATTTCTTCTATATTAATACACGACTAAAAGTTTATAAATTCTACAACTGCGGAGTTCACAAGCAGATAGATTCTTGTACATATAGCTACATAAGTCTACTAATTTAATATTTGCTAACTCTAGAAATTTATTTTCTAAACTCTGCGAGGAAAAGAGACAGAGTTTTTTTAACTGGGTTTAGAAAAATCTACTTCCTGAAATTAAACAGAAGACATGTGAGTTTATTAATGAATAGATAGTTATTAGCACAACAATGCATTCACACAAAATGTGCAAATGTTTTCAATCTTGTCATTCTACTGAAGTTATATGCTCACGCGCAGACAGCCACGACAAATGGCATAAACAGCACTTCAACAACAGCACTCACAATTATTAACATCTTCACATAATCACATCACGTGAAAATTAGTCAGTGGCATCACCGAAACCCCCAATGAGCTGTCCTCCCACATGCCCGTCCTCTTATGATGTGTGCAGGAGGGAGCCGATCCCCCATACATGGCCGACCGGTCTAATCCTCACTTGACTAGCCCTCTCATTGTTTTTCCATTCTCTCTTTTCTTTTCTGTACCAACAGGAGGCCATCCTCTGGTTTATCCATATTATCCATATCATATCATCAGGTGCACATTGGGGCGCCGATCTCCCATACGACCAACGGTCTCGTAGACCGCCCTCACAAATCCATAGTAACCCACTTCATCCCAACTCCACACAAACAAAGCATATCATTATCACATCACAATTAATCAAACACTGCAATTAAATATAAGCATAACAAATAAGTAAATATCATGATGCAAGTGCACAATTAGACATTTACATTCAATTACAATTAAGTAAAGGAGTAGTAATTTAACAATATAATATAATAATTGATTCTATTCTTGGAATAGACATAAATAAATAAAAAATAAGAGAACCTTTATTTTTTATATATCAAGTTCAAGAAATTAACCTAAATAAACCTGATAACTTAATTTTAAATTATGACTAGCCTAGATTCTAATCGAAAAATTCAGAGAACATCCCCTAAAAATTTGACTAAAAAAAAAAACCCAACAAAATTCCACAATATAATATCAACAGCTCATTCCGTCGGGCAATTCACGATCAACTCATCCCGTCCGCCATAACCTTATTTATCAATCATGTCGATTATCAATTCCACATAGCCCATTTCCATCGGGCAGTCAATTCAACCAACCCATTCGCTTTGGGCTAGCTCGTCCATCCATCGCCCAAACACACATATGCACTTAATAACTCCCAACCAACTTAATTAATAAGTATATTAGCCTTCGAGCATATTTCAATGATTATAAATAAGTTGTACTATATCTGCGAGCATATTTCAATGATATTAATAAGTGTACTATATCTGATTACCAAATAACTAAACATTTATAATAAAATTTGATTCGCCAAGTTAAATACAGGTACTCTCATTGATAATTTCTATATTATACTTACTCGTCTAAGTCTTAGATTTTAATTTCTCCCTAACATTATTTTAATAAAATTCCTAGGTTAACCAACATAAACATTAGCTAAAAATTCTCATTTCAATATCAAATCTTCTAATAATAACTAATATTCATGAAATATAATCAACAATATTCAAAATAAATTGCTTCTTACAATACGCCCCTGACTAATTCCTAGCAAGAATTATATCTAACTAATTATTTGTTCGAATTCAATTTATTCAACTATAAATTTTAAATTTGGAATTTATACTGAAAATAGGAAAATAGGTCTTAAGGCGTACCGCTTGAGAATCAGACTACAATTCCACGATCCGCGCGAAGAGGAGGTCATTCTGCGTCTTGAAGCTTCGCCGGAGCCTCATCAGACCGCCGTCGTGCACGGTGGTCGGAAAATCGTGGCTTTGCTGGATTTGAGGGGTGCTTATACCCCCAGACTCGAAAATTCACCAGGAATTCGAATCCATGCTTCGTTTGTGCATTTGGTGAGCTGATCGGTCGGAATCAAGCTTGATAGCCGCTCCACCACTGCCTTCAATGGCAAAATTCCACCATACGGGCTCCATCTTCAAAGTTAATAGAGGGAAAACATTTTGGAGGTAACTAGGAGTCGATTGGGACCCTTCCCGGCATTTGAGATCGACGGAACGGCGGGATTTCACCGGAAAATCAAAGGAGAGGGTGCTGTCGATGGAAGCTGTACCAATTCACGCCGATCGAAGCTCGTTCCGCGTGCCAGGCGACCGGCAAAGGGACTACCGACTCTAGGAGGGTCGACCGCCGCCTTGCTCTCGTCGGGCGGTGGCCGGAAACGCAGTGCAACGAGGGAGGGGGGTGTCACGCGACGCAGGAGAGGAATAACAGAGAGGAGAGAAAATGGGGCCAATGATAATTTGGCAATATTCTAAGGGCTTCTAGATCATTCCGGTTCGATTCGAACCGGTTTGGTTCAAATTAGCGATTCGACTCGATTTTTATTTGGTTTTCGAGTTCTTCACTTGGTTTTCAGAAATTTTAAGCCGATTTACGATTTTGGTTTGACAACGATTAAATATTTACCGTATATTCTCATTTTATTCTTACGGTCAATTTATTTAATTGATTTAATCAAATTTTATACCTTTCTTCAATTTATTCACAATAGTTGCATTATAATAATATTAGAGTTTAAGATCATCAAGTCAAGTAGTAAATCTAATTTTTATTGTTATTTTGAGTGATTTAATATAAATTTTTAAGAAGTTTAGATTGTTTCTAACTAGAAGTTCCAATATTATGTTTTGGGCTTGAGCCCAACCCCGTAAACTTGGGTTCGGATCGAAATTATATGGTATTTGCAGCCATACAGTCAAAATTTTTGATTTTTTATTTAATAAAAAATTTAAAAGTTTTGAAAATAAAATTACGGGGTGTTTCAATTAATTGAGAGGGTTATAATTTTACACAGAAAATATTTAAATTTAAAATTTCTCATTATTCACAGAAACGATAATATCAATTAGCCACAAATTTACTTAATTGACTGCGCCTTTTTTAATTGATTATAACATTAGAGTCAAATTCTTATAACATTAGCCTCAATTTATGCCGTTCATCTGCAAAGAAAAAAAGTTCCCATCATGTTCATACGCCATAGAAAACCCTTCTATTTTATGCTTTCAAATTCTTCCTCAGTTTATTTGGCATTAAAGTTATATAAATTGAAAAAAGGAAAAAAAAAAATACAAAAGACAAGTTCAAAGTCTTTATCTTTATTAATTTCCCTTGAAACTAATCAAATTAATTTCAAGGTAATGGTTACATTTTACTAATTATTGGTTAGCTTCAATGGCGAATCAAGGACAACCACAAACAGGATTTTGACATTTGCAATTTTCATTTGAACACAAGTCGCCGCATTTACCATCACAATCTTTTTCTTTGCTACAATGGAATGAAACCACAGGCCCACGTTTTTTTGCTACAATGGAATGAAACCACAGTCCCACGTTTTTTCACCAACTCCTATTTCACAGCTTCCATTGCACACTGCAATTTTTTAATTTTTTTTTTTTTTTTTTTGCCAACATCAATATATTAAAATTTATGAAGATTATTTAACAAAATTACTAACTTGAATACTGCATGAATAAAATTACTGTAGAAACCTATAAGGAACACTTTAAGTGTAAGACGCACTTGATTTTGGTGGACTGTTTATGTAAGATAACGGGTTTGATCTATGAAGAAAATATATATGAAGAAAAACAACCGTGGAACCTCAAAATGTTTAATAATCGCATATCTAAAGAGTTTGTTTGGATATGGAAAACTCATAGTAATAAAATTATTATAGAACATAAATGTAAAATACAAAACAATAATTCAAAATAAATAATCATAATACTAAAATCATATATATTGAGTGAGAGACAAAATAAATAATCATAATACTAAAATCATATATATTGAGTGAGAGAAGAGAGATACTAACAAGAAGCAACGAACAAGAAAGCAAGTAAGAAAGCTAGCTTCAATGATAAGTTAGCGATCTCTATATTGTATTGATATGCTACCAGCTGCTTGACCTAGGGAGAGAATAGTGTATGGGCTCCTTCAGGGGATTGTTCATGTATAGATGAAGTTGTGTGACTTATAAAGTAAGAAAATCAAACGAATTTTAGGGATTCACTTTTAAGTTTCTGCTTGTTATACTTAACAATAGTAATTGATTGGAGATTCATTTTTCTATTAAAAAATCTCGCCTTACTTACAACATGATTTTGGTTCTATTTGGCAATTCTTTCTACTTCTCGGGGTATAATGACAGACCGAGAAGTTCGACTAAAAAGAATTGGTGGAGAAATCTTGTGTTATATATGGTAATCTGTGTCGAGTGACGATTGCTCCATCTATTAAGAACTATTAAGAAAGGACGCAGGGGGGCCTGTCTTATTATAAAGGGGGGTACTCTCTTCTCTGATGTGCAAATATTAGTTATTTTGTGGTTGTTAGTTGTTGTAGTAATTATTAGTTGTTCTATTAATGGTCAACTATTTAATTAGTAGTTTAACTTAAAATTTCAAAAAAAATGATATTAGCACTTTAATTAGTTGTATTCAGGGGAAAAATAATAATTGGTATGATTATCAAAAAAAATTAATTAATCTCTATGAAATGTCAAACATTAGAATGTTTAACATTTCATCAAAAACTCTCTTATTCTATTAAAACTATATTACTGAACGCTATAATTAATAGAAATAACATTTTTAGTTGGTCAAATTGTTATAAGCTAGCTCAAAATCTATTGCCGTACAAGGCCTTTTAAGAAATTATTGAATGTAATTTGGTGAAATTTATTTCTTCAATTATTCAAAATATTTTAAGATTCATTCCTAATTGAAAATATTGACTTAGTTATTTATTTTGCTTTGAGATTTAAAGACATTTCAACTTGAATTAAATAGATTATCTTTATTTTTAACAAGATAATTGTTATACTAATCAAAAGTATTTTTTGCCTTATGAACATTTTTATTGTATTTATATTTTATTGGATGTGTAAGTTTAGTAAATGGTGTTAAGTGTTATCTCATATAAAATGGAAATGAAAAATACAAAGGGATGATTAGTCATTTTTATTAATTCAAAATTATAACCAATGGCCCAAAAAAATATATACTTTTATGAGTAATATTATAAAATATATTCTTTTTGAGAGTAATATCAATATGTAACATAAGGATTAAGTGTTGGAGTTGTAGTGATGAAGAAAAAAAAACACTATTTTAAATATTGGGGCAAGAGATTTTATATTTAATGAGATTTAAAAATAAAATCATTTTTAAATAGTTTCATCTCTTCTCTGCCACTAACTAAAGTATATTAATATCTGTTTTAATATTTTAGTGTCAATTTTGAAATTACTCTCATGAAATTAAAATTCATGCATGCTCTTTAAAATATTAATCAATTTTATTTGTTCTTTAATTATTATTTAAATTGTCGCCACCTAGGTTATTAGATTTTTATGTTTAAATTAATGAATGTCGGAGGAAAAAAAATCATCACTCTTACTTAGAATGGTGGACAGCATATCTAGTCTATGTATATATATTAGTTTTCTGCATGTTATTTATACTCTTTAATTTTTGTTTATTGCAAGTAAATATAATTTAATATATATTTATAATTTTTTGTTATTAATTTTTTGTTATAAACTATAATATTATAAATAGTTTATATTACTAAAAAAAAATTAAAATATTCACAAAATAAAAAAAGAATATTTTATAAAATAATAAAATAAAAAATAACAAATTTTCCAAAACTGAGGATTAGCTTGACTAATATTTTGAAGTATTTTCAACTTTCGACTTAAAATGTATTTTTAATCAATTTAAAAATAGGTAATTAAAGTGTTTGGGAAGGACATGTTCAGTAAAAATAATTGTCCTAGTAGTAACTCTGTTTTAATAGTTGTCGGCTGCTAAGTACTATTTCTGTAAGCAATTGTATATGATCGCAAGAAAATTAATGTTATTGGATATCCATGGAAATATATATAGATATAAGAAAACTAGGTATTTAATGATGTGGTGAAATTCTGGGAACTTAATTTTATGAGGTTGAGATAAACTTTTTTATTTTCTTTTTAAGAAAATTCATTTAACACAAAATAATTAGCAGTAACATTGACAACTCAATTACCTGTCATCTATTAAGTAGTATTTTTATAATCAATTATATAAAATTGTAAGAAAATTAATGTTATTGAATATCCATGTGAATCATTATGAATATATAAAAACTACCTATTCAATGATGTGGCCAAATTTCGGAACTTAATTTACTAAGGGTGGGATCAACTTTTTTTTTTTTTCTTTTTAAGAAAATTCATTTAATACAAAATAATTATTAGTAATTTTGACAACTCAATTACCTTTTATGTCATTAATTAATATAGTACAAAAATTAAGGAAGTGTTTGATTTAGTTACTTTCAATATTCAACTTAAAATGTATTATTAATTTATATGTCAATTTAAAAATAAGTAATTAAAATATCTAATAAGAACATATTCGGCAAAATTAATTGTCTTAGTAGCTGTCAGCGGTTTAAGTAACATTTTATCAAATGGTAAATGAAATGTTGTTTCATTATCCATTCTCTCAAATTCACTCTCTCAAATTCTAAAGATTAGTATAAATGCTACACTGCAAGCACTATGGGCCTATTTGATAAAATTAGTTATTTTGGTAGTCGTTAGTTGTTTTACTAACTTTTCATAAAACGCTAAAAGTTAAACAGGAATTAACATTTTGTAATCATAACTATACCTATTTGTATAATCAATATTTTTATTAGTATAATAATCCCTAATATATAATATTTATATAAATATAATACTATTATAACAAATAGCTCCAATAGTAATATGATTAGCTGGCCATTCGAACAATATTTAGTATTTCAGATATCTTATGTCCTGTAATTATAACAAATTACTAAGCAATTTGTATTTATTTAATAAAATGCTAAAGTATGTTTAAATTTAAACGACACCATATAAGGCATCACTAGTTTTTTTTTTTTTTTTTTTTTTTTTTTTAAACGACACATATAAGGCATCACTAGGTTTTTTTTTTTTTTTTTTTTTTTTTTTTGGTTTTTTTTTTTTTTTTTTTTTTTTTTGGCATATTGAAGAAGGAGATTCACACCTAAATCTATTATGAGATTGTATATGCACTTATCACTAGGCCACGCCTTGGTGTGCATCATCAGCCAAATTTTTAGTATAAATAAAAAATAGATAGTGTTATTTTCAAAGCATAAAATGTAAATACTGAAGCAAAATTTATTGTTTAAATAAAATTTCGCTTTACAAATATCGAATTTTTGATAGAAAATTTAATAAATTTTAAATTGAAACTATCAATTTTCTCCCATCAACTAAAATATCCCGTAATTTTATTTTCAAAAATATCAAATTTTAATTAAATAAAACATGGACTTTTAATCTCATGTGCTCTAATTGCCGAATAATTTTGTTTTAAGCCTGAGTTCAATTCAAGCCCATAGATATATTGCCGAAACTCTAAGGCTAAGAGCTCAATAAATTATTCCAAAATAAACAATAAACATTAAAATTTATTATTAAAAATATTACTAATATTTAATTTATTTATTCCAACTCAAATTATTATTTGAATAATAAAATCTTCCAATGAAATCTTAAAATTTAAGGATGGAAGACTCTAGAATGTGTTAAACCAAAATAATTGAACGTGAACCATTGAACATCAAGAGAAAACCAATTGATTCCCTGTCGAACCAAACCAAATCAAAATTGAATCAAACCGGGTGTATAAAATTCAAGCACGAGAGAAAAAATAAAGAATTTTCTCCTCCTTCTTCCTTATCAACGCCGTCAGTCCCCTCCCCTTTTCCGTCCTGTTTTCCGGCCAAATGGCCATTTTTCCCGGTGAATGAAGGCTCTAAACTCTAGAGCTCGGCTAGACGAACACATTGTTGGCCTCTGTTCGCCCAATAAAAGCCGGACTAAGAGAAACCATGAATAAGTAGTGTGATACCGTAACATCACATTTTCCGGTGATTCCCGCTGTCACCGGCGAAGACAATCATCAAGGAGGCTTTTGATGACGCGCCATCACCTCACGAATGATTTCCTTCCATCAATTCTGGCGATGAAGCTTGGATGGCAAAACCACCAAGAATGGCGGTGGTACAACGACTATCGGACCTATTTCAGCAAATTGAAGCGGTGACTCAAAAAATTGACATCAGAATTGGGTTCCCTATGAAATTCCGAGCCAGGAGATGTAAAAATGGCTCGGTTCCGGTGAGGCCCGGTTTTCCGACGCTCCGGCAAGGACCCAAGGGACAGAATTTTTCCCTTTTTGCGGTAATCGCGAATCTTCAATCCAATTTTTAATCGGTAAGCCCTAAGTCCCTACACTGTATTTTCTTGTAAAATTTAATTAGAATTGGTTAGTTCAAGTTAGTCAAGTTTAGAACTTAGTAAGTTAAATTAGAGTAAGATAAGGAATGTCTAAGAAATCTGGATCCAAAATGGTTAATGAATAATATAGATTTTTTATATTTAAAATATGATTTACAAACTTATTAGGTAGAAACTAGAAATTCTTAAAATTTAAAGTTAAGTTAGTCAAGATTAGTTAAATTAAAAGCACTTATAGGATTATGGAATGCGAGCACTAATTACCTTAAGAGATTTATTTAGTTAATCCAGTTAAACTCTAATTTATTTTAGTTCAATCTAGTCATATTAGACGATAGGACTGCCATGTTATCTAGTTCAACTTTAATGATGCAATTTACTAATGTATAAGTGTAGCACTCGTTGACTCGGATGTTAACACTGAATAACTCGAGAAAGGAATTATTTACATAAACTGTATAGTGAATTGGAGTACTGATGGTGAAGTGAATATATGATTAAAGTCTAAGGGCATGAATTGATTAGTGATATATAACCATAAACACGTATAAGTATAAATATAGAAGTATAGTATAAGTAATAAATATAGAAAGTATATATATATATATATATATATATATATATCTATAATATAAAATTGAATGTGCATAATTGTGATGTAACTGTAATTAACAAATAATAAAGGTGATTGTTCATTTTGAAATGCTGGAGGATGGGCTTGTATTAAGTGATTTTGCCTGATGGATGGGCTGTGTTTATGCTGATTATTTGTGATTATAAAATAGGTGGGATGTTTAGATTACAAGGTAGATGCTTCTGGATTTTTAGTAGAATAATTAGAATAAAAACAAAATAAATCTAACAAGTTATAATTGTAACACCCTCCACCCAGTCCCGTGAGGCCCGACGGTGGATGCTACATTTAGTACCGGAGATATCATCTTAACTTAATATATAAATCATAAAATTAGATTATGAATTAGAAGTAATTGAGTATTCACAAGTTTAGCGTGTAACATTTTTTTTTTTTTTTTTTATTTTTTAAGATAATCACATTTAATTTCGTTTTCAATCTCTTTTTTTTTTTTTTTGAAAATAAAATTGGGAAAAATCTTACAAAAAATACTGATAAGGAATTTTCTTTAAAAACTGAGCTCGCCAAACATGTGAATACAAAAAAACTCCAATTAAACTTCCAAAACTCCCAGAATCTCCAAAATAATCCATCATAACACAACACACTTCTATATTTCCATAACATATAATTAAATTTCCTCAATAGCATTTAATATTCATTAATTAATTGCATTCATTACATATATCAAAGTCTTAATAAACTAAATTATACGAACTCTCCTTCAAATATTTTATATTCAAATCATTTAATGAAATCTTATGCTTATCTCCAAATATATACACCAACATAAATTGATAATTACATACTTAAGTTATATTCAAATAACATAATCTCTGAAATATAATAATTATACATGCCATAATTCTTAATTACACCCAAATCTCAATCTACTGATATCAAACAATAGTTCTTCTGCTCTGATGCTACTCTTCTAGTCTTCAAGCAGCAACACAGTTCAGCAACCACAGTCTTTAACCTGCGCGTGATAAAAATCAATGCGCTGAGTATAAAACTCAGTGGTGCTCATAATTCACGTACTTACTAAAGTTGCGATAACAACTTACTTAAAACACATATTACATAAATCATTAAATTTCAACATACATTTACATTTATAGTAAAAGAAATATCAAATAAACTATTAATTAATAACATAAATAATTTAATCCTTTATACCATAAATCCTTTACTTAAACATTTAATCACCATAAAAAATACTTTAGTTCTTTACTTAGAGATATCAAATAAACTTATAATTAATAACATAAATAATTTAATTCTTTCAAATCATAAATTCATTACTTGAACATTTATCATACCAATACATATACTATTTATTTTTTAAAACCATGTACTGAAATATCATGCTTTGAAAATTCATTTGATAACATAATCATAAATTTCCAAAGTAAGGTTTACTAAAAGAATATGAGCTCATTTATTTAATTGCCTTACAAATATTTTCCAAGGGCTCGCATACACTTAGGAGAAAGAGAAGCAGATAGGTTCTCATAACTTATTCATAATGGCCTTAGGTCGTCGCCAACCGTTTTCATAATGACTTAGGTCGCCATCTTATCATAACATATAGGAGTGCGTCGTCCTAACATAAGACACTTTTCGTGCCTAGCAAATATGAAGCATATGATCATAGCTTCTTATCATAATGACATCAAATGCCGAGCATGCTCACCATACATAATAAAATCAAATCTCGCATCAAATTCACACCAAGTATATTAGAGCTCAAAATCCTTGTTTTAATTCTTAATTTATAACACTTATCATAAAATTTGTCTTATTCTTTAGTCTTCTTAAATTTATAATGTAAACTTACTTTAGAACGTATGTAACTCATGAAAGCTTCATACTTAGCCATAATTTCTTAACATAGAAAATTTCTTATCATATGAAATCATATATGTAAGCTTACTTTATAAATAATTTACATATTTACCAAAGTTGCGATGGCAACTTACTTTATACACAAATTTCATAAAATCATTTACAATCATAAAATCATTAAATTTCAACATACATTTTTATTTATAGCAAAAGAAATATCAAATAAACTATTAATTAACAACATAAATAATGTAATTCTTTATACCATAAATCCTTTACTTAAACATTTAATCACATAAATACTTTAGTTCTGTACTTGGAATATCAATAAACTTATAATTAATAACATAAATAATTTAATTCTTTCAAATTATAAATTCATTACTTGAACATTTATTATATATATATAGAATAATTAAGTAAGCCTTACCACCCTAAAGCCAAGGGGAGAGATTTCAATCTCTAATCAAGCATGCTAACAAAACTCTTATGCACCAAAGTATCCACTTCAACCCTCATCATGCATTATCTAAACTAATTTCACACTTTTCCCGAAATTTCCAACAATTTTTCCCATTTATATCCATTTAAACATATCCACAATAACACTTTTCAAACTTATCTTATTTTTTATCAAATAAATCCTAAAATATACAAATAATCAAGAGAAAAATCCTAAAAAATACAAATAATCAAGAGAAACTTCCTCACACCTGATTCTTACATACTTTTATCTAAATAAACTTATGTTTCAAGACATAGAAATTTTCCAGCGTTAAAATAAACTTGACTTTTGCTGTGTTCTTAAGACATAACTTGAGCTATAGGTCTCCAAATTGAGTGAAGTTAAATTCACTAGAAAGCTAAGACAAAATACTACAAATGTTATGAAGGGATCACATCCCATATCAATTTGTAAGATGGTAAACAAAGGCTAGGACCACAGACCAACAGTCCAAGCTTGATTCAGCAGAATCAAATCTAATGTTTATTAAATTTCTACTTATCCAAACACTCAAATTAAACCAATCCAAAATCAGGGAAGTCTTAACATACAAGGCAATAACTTTCATGAAGAACTCAAAACATAATCTTGCCATCATAGTGGTCAAAATGGGCACTCAATTCAAAGATGCATATGGCCCGACATGGCCCGACATAACAGAGTCAGTTTGAGTTTTTCAGCCATAAGTTGAGCTATATATATCCAAATTGGACACAGGAGGATGGGTTGGAAAGCTAAGAACTATAACTACAACTTTTGTGAAGGACTTAGACACAAATGGAAACTAAAAAGAATCAAAAAATGGTCTTTAATCTCACTCAATAACACATTTTTCCCAAATTCAGCTTTCTTTAAACATGAAAAGAACATGAACCATGAAAGAACATGAAAGACAAAGTTACATGGTAGAGATTTCTACCACATACTAAATACTCATCAAACATCACCCAAGAGCATGTTGTTGCAACCAAAGTTCAATAAATCAATCATTTCATACAAAATCCCAAAAAATATACATGATAGCATAATGCACAAAATAAAAAATTAAAGTAAGATAAGTGTATTTATGAACACTAACTTTCAAAACACACTTGGATTAAAGTTTCCTAAGCCTTTGCTTTGCCTTACACCTTGGTAGAAGGTTTTCCCAACCTTTGCTTCAAGTGGAGAATCTCCAAATTTCTTGAAATAATTCACCAAAAATCACTTCTCAAGCTTTAATCTTTAGGATTAATTACTTAAATCAAGTTGGATGGAAAAGATTTGGTGGATTTAGTGAGTAGGAAGTGAAGAAAAACAAAGAGAAGAAGGAGAGGAAGTTGGCGTTGAAGACAAGCTTTTCAATCTTTAGGATTAATTTAACTTAAATCAAGTTGGATGGAAAAGATTTTGTGGATTTAGTGAGTAGGAAGCTGAAGTGGTGGATTTAGTGAGTAGGAAGTGAAGAAAAACAAAGAGAAGAAGGAGAGGAAGTTGGCGTTGAAGAGAAGAAGAAGAAGAGAAAAGTGGTTGCTCAATTATTGGATTTGACCTTTATAAAGCAACTCAGGGATATTTTGGTCTTTTCTGAAAATTGGATGGCTAGGATTGAGTCAATAGTAATCTAATCTAATGACTACAAATATTTTCCAATTAAATTCCTTCAAAATATTATTTATCGTCACAAAATTCTCAAATTTACTCTATAAAAATGATTCCTCAAATTTCCTTAATTAATGTAACACCATAATTCACTATTCACTAATTATCTAAATTCTTCAAAAATATTCATTACTTACTTTCTACCCATAATGTATGTTATGCATACTCCAAAAAAAAAAAAAAAAAAAAAAAAAAAAAAAAAAAAAAAAAAAAAAAAAAACAAAAAAAAAAAAATATAAAAAAAACCAATAAGATAAATTAATTATCTAAATTCTTCAAAAATATTCATTACTTACTTTCTACCCATAAAAATTATGTATGCATACTCCAAAAATATTAAATAAAACATAAAACATAGATAGTAATTTTTCCGGGCCAAAATAATATCGATTTCCGGACCGATAGTACTATTGATAGATCGGTGGTACTATGTATAGACCGGTAAATCACTATCCATCCATAGTTAATCATACTCAATATCTTCCTCCAGTCTAAATAAAATATTATCCCCCTCTCTGCAGCACCATTCATGACCCGATAAAATAATACTATTGTAATATGTGAAAATTTTGGAGCGTTACAATAATGGTTAAAATAAATTAAATAATCAAAGTAGTTCAAATAAATCATGCTAATTTGGATAAATTAGAAACTTAACATTAAAGGTTAAATGTTTAGAAATTATTGTTTAAAGTTTCCTTTTATATAATTCTCTATAAGGGGGGGGGGGGGGGGGGGAGGGGGAAGCGGGGGGGGGGGGGGGAGGGGAAGCATTTCAATAACCAATAGCATGTTAGATAATTCACATCATCCACTTGCATTTTTGCAGTTATGCATGCACGACTAAATTTTATACATGCATTACTTGATATATTGCTATTTGTACTGCACTCGTTGCTATTGAATATTATTTGATTAATTGTGGCATGCTACTTACATGTTTGTTTGTGTGGAATTGGAATGGTGTGGGTCACGGTTGGGTTTGTGAGGACGGTGCTACTTACATGTTTGTTTGTGTGGAATTGGAATGGTGTGGGTCACGGTTGGGTTTGTGAGGACGGTGCTACTTACATGTTTGTTTGTGTGTGCTACTTACATGTTTGTTTGTGTGGAATTGGAATGGTGTGGGTCACGGTTGGGTTTGTGAGGACGGTGCTACTTACATGTTTGTTTGTGTGGAATTGGAATGGTGTGGGTCACGGTTGGGTTTGTGAGGACGGTGCTACTTACATGTTTGTTTGTGTGGAATTGGAATGGTGTGGGTCACGGTTGGGTTTGTGAGGACGGTTTTTGATACTGTCAGCCATGCATGGGAGATCAGTGCCCTTTTATGTATATGATAAAATACGATATGGATGATATGGAAAACTACAAGGTGGCCTTTTGTTGGTATGGAAAAGAAAAGAGAGGTATAAAAAAATGAGAGGTTAGTCAAGTGAGGTGGAGACCGATTGACCATGTAAAATGGATTGGCTCCCTGGTGCACATGTGATGAGAGAATGGGCTATGTGTGAGGACCGCTCGTCGGGGGTTTTGGTGGCACCATTGACCAATCTCCACTTGATGTGATTATGTGAATGTGCTAATATTTGTTATTGTTGTTGATATGCCATTTGTGTGATCAACTGCATGATCATATAATTAGTTAGATGACAAGATTGGCTTATATACTCATTGAGTGATTGTGTAGGGTGAGAGGGTTATCTAACCTTACTCACTGAGTTTAGACGCTCATCCTTGCCTTAATATTTTTTTCAGGTTACTGGTATTCCAATAACACGTTATCCTCTATCACCGGATGCTTAGAAGAAACCTCGATAAATATTTTGAGATTGTTCCGCAATTACGATACTCATGAACAGTAGATTTAGAAATTATCAATGTATGACTTATTAAAGTTTTTACCATGTAATATATTGATTTATTATTGAACATGATGATACATGCCAAGCGAGCCCAACACTTATGATATGTGAATGATGATGATATTGGGCCTAAGGCCAATTCTATTGAACATGAAGTTTGTTTGTTATATTTTTGGCTTACTATGGGCTTTGGTGGCTTTAAGTCTACCCAAGTTCTAGTGCCAATCTGGCCTAAAGTAATGGGTAGTGACATCAACATTTAAGATAAACAGTTTGAATAATATTGTTTACACAAATTTGAAGTCTTATTTAGCTTCAAATTAAATATTAAGGAAAATAATGAGATATTTGTAAATATTTCTCTTTCACTATAACGATTTTCATAACAAGGATACAATCATACAATCTTAATTATGGTTGTGTTCGGTAATAGCTTTTTAAATAATTTTTAGTATTTTGACCATTAAAATGTTAAATGTTATTTTTTATAGTGTTCTGTAACATAGCATTTAAATTAACTTTTAGATGTTAAGGTAGCGTTTTATAAAAAGTTAATCCATGTAATGTTTAGCTTTTAGTTTTTTATGAAAAAATACTCAAACAATTTTTCTAAAAAATGGAAAAGATTTAAACTGGAGACTTTTTATTATCCACATAAATAATAATATCAACCAGACACAAATTTATTTGATTGATTGTGTTTTTTCTGTAGTGATTATAACATTAGCATCAAATTCTTATTCATGAACAACAAGGAAAAATTTATGTCATTCACCTGCAAAGAAAAAAGTTCCCATAATGTTCATGAGCCCTAGAAAGGCCTTTGTATTTTACGCTTTCCAAATTCTTTCTTAGTTTGCTTTGGCATTAAAGTGATGTAAATTGACTGACAAAAGGGGAAAAGCCAAAAAAAAAGAAAAGACAAGTTTAAAGTCTTTTATCTTTATTAATTTCCCTTGAAACTAATCAGATTAATTTCATGGTAATGGTTAAATTTTACTAATTATTGACTGACTTCAACAGACAATGAAATCCAAAAGCCTGGTTACAATAATGTTATATTATTTGCTACTTAAATCAACTCAACTAAATAGTTACAAGTTTAATCTTGTCGATTAACTATATGCTATCCTATTAAATCAAATAATTGGCCATATTGAATAAACAATACGATAATAATGGAGATAAAATTTCTCATTATATGTAGAAAATACACAAATACTGATGATATTAAACAAGAAAATAAATATATTAAGATCTCACAATCATAGAAGAAATTTTACTTTGAATTCAACCTTTGATTGAAAAGAAAAACTTAGCTACACATGGTCATAGAGAAAACTCAAAGAATAATAAATCCTAAAAACAATTGTTGTTGAAAAGAATTAAAGATCCCCTACTCAATAGACTTAAAGTTCTATTTACAGGAGAGGGAAAAATTCTAAACTAGGAAAATAAATCTCAAATTAATTATAAATATAAAGTATTGGAATCTAAGTATCTTCCTAATTTCCTAATTAGTTGTCTAGTTCCTTTAGAAGAGTTTCTAGAGTAAGCCCGAAGTAATCCCAACTAGCAAATATTTTAATCTTGATCAGCTTTGGACGCGCCTCCCTTAGCCTTGCCCAAGGCTAAATTGCCAACTTCCATGAGGTTTTAGTAATTTCTTGTAATTCAGCTTCAACTTAGCATATTTGTCCAAAACTTTGAGAATTGACGTCATAAGCTCGTTGCCCAATGAATTTAGCATAATCTAAGAAAATATATGAAAACCAAGTGAAAGTTCTCATTTTACAACAAAAATATCCACAAATAATATTCAAATATGGAGCATATTATGCTAAAACTCTCATATTCCCTCACACTTATCCCATGCTTGTTCTCAAGCATGACTAAAACTCACAATCGACCTTAGATAAAAGTTCACTTCATCCTATCACAATATTTTTTTAGCAAAAGATTGAAAAATTGAGAGGAAAGATGACGCGGAACCCTATGGAAATTTATTCCAAGAACTCTATGACAAGATTTGGAATAGATCAAAGATCAAACTAAACCCTCCCTATGGCACTCCTCATTTATAAAGAAACGGAAACACCAATAGTAGAGTAAAAGAATAAGATAAACGCCACAAGTAAATTGATAAGTTTACCTTGATTCTTGATGCAATAAGAGGAATGCAATCTCATATTCTCTCCAAAGCAAGGAACACGCCTAAGCATGAAAGAAGAATTTCTATTTCATTGATTGATTGAATAAAAATACAATATAACAAGCTATTTATACTAGTTCTAAGAGGTCCTGATCCTTAAAGGATTTAGAATAGTTAGTCTAAATCAGCTAAGGATTAGGTTTTAGTAAATCTAAACCAACTACGGATAAGACTAGTAAATCTAAACAACTTTAGGATTTGGTTAACTAATCCAAATCAACTAAAGATTGACCAATCTAAACCAACTAAGGATAAGACTAGTAAATCTAAACAACTTTAGGATTTGGTTAACTAATCCAAATCAACTAAAGATTGACCAAATCTAAACAAATAAAGGAAAATCACCAAGGGGGGCCGAAATATAGGAGGCCCAACCCATTAACATTGTTAAAACTCAAAATAAACTAACTAATCTAAGTAGAGGCAGAGGCGGGCACGGTCTGGGGCGTGCTAGTTGGCACGGGCGTGCTCCAAGGCAAGTGTTTCCTCGCGGGAGTCAGAGGCTTGCACGGTCTGGGGCGTGCTAGTTGGCACAAGCGTGCTTCAAGATAAGTGTTTCCTCGCAAGAGTTAGGGGCTTGCACGGCCTGGGGCGTGCCACCTTGCACGGGCGTGCTAACCTAGCACGGTCTGGGGCGTGCCATATGTTGAAATTCAGATTCAACATGTGCTTCCATTAATGTGAGAAACTTAGGTGTTCCTTCAAGTTCTTCATAGCACTTGTTGGAAGCAAGGTCATGGAGCTCTTGTGTAACTTGTTCTTGAATGTATAAGGACATGGTTGCTCCATATTTCTTTGCACGGCTCCTTGTACTTGGTCCACTGCTCCATATTTCTTTGCACGGCTCCTTGTAATTGGTCCACTAGGAAGTACTAATGGATTGCCATTGTTGTGGTCCTTGTTCCCTTGAGCTCTATAGGTGTTTTGTGATGGTGGATCCGTATCATCCCCCTGTTCTTTAAAAATATTTGTCCTTAAATCTACATCCATGTCAAAGGGAGACAAATCACTAATGTTAAAAGTTGTAGAAACACCATACTCACCCGGCAAGTCTATCTTGTAGGCATTGTCATTGATGCGCTCCAAGACTTGAAATGGACCAGCTCCACGTGCATCGAGCTTATTCTTCCTTTGGTTGGGAAATCTTTCCTTGCGAAAATGTACCCAAACCCAATCATCTGGCATAAGCACAAGCTTCTTCCTGCCCTTGTTTGCTTTATCAGCATATTGTTTATTGCTCTTTTCTATGTTGGCTCTAGCTTTCTCATGTAAAGACTTCACCAATTCTGCCTTTGGAACACCATCTAAATTAGAAAGTTCATTCAAAGGTAGATCTAACACAGTTAGTGGGTTAAAACCATAAAAAGCCATAAACAAGTTCCAAAGGCGCTAAAACCCTGAAGTAGAATGTATGCTGACAATTCTATTTAATCGCATAATTCAATGAAAGATGGCAAACAATCTTCCCAAGTTTTTTTAAGTTTTTACCCATAATTGGTACGATAGCAATGTTCCTAAAGTTCTATTCACAACTTCTAGTTTGTCCCATCTGTTTGAGGATGATCAAGTCGTGTAGAATAAAAGGTAATTTAGTTTTACCAGCTTACCCCACAAAAACTCTCCAAAGTTGTGAAAGTACAAACTTTGCATCCGCTGATCAGAAAAACTATGTAGTTCGTTGGTACCCCATGTAGTCTACCACTTCTCTAAAGAACTAGATCGAGCAATCATTATTTGGGCATCATCAGTTTTATTGACCAAGGAATTGAAATGAGCCAATCTCTTTTTATATGCTAAACCTTATCAAAACAACGAAATTATTGCCTGTCCTTACCTCGCTTTAGTTCCTAGGTAAACTATAGTACCGAAAGTCCATGGATATATCAGTTCCAAGTGAATAGGAACACGGCAAAGTGTAACAGACTGATTTTGTTCTTTAGTTGTCTGGTAATAGCTATTTACCGTCTGTGAATAGTCACCATCGGTCCGGGACTTTGTATATATTTTAGTCTCGGAAAAACAAAAAATACTATGCATAGTTAATCATTTATTTACTTGACTGTTTTTGGAGCATGTTTGCATGATTTAGGGCGACGGCTGAGTGCCCCCCGTGGCTCCGAACTATTTAATGAACTATTTTGGAAAGTTTAATGCTTTTAAATGCATAGATATTTCTAGTTTGTTGGTCTATATTAAGAAATAAAATGTTAAGAAATAAATGAGGAATTATTTTAGTGGAGTTCATTTAATTAATTGGTGGAGTTAAATAAGAAGTAGAAGAGATTTATTTGAGGAATATTTAGAACCATTGGATGAGATTACTTAGGACTTGATCTTAGCCACACATTTGGTATTTAGAGCCATTGGATGAGATTACTTAGGACTTGATCTTAGCCACACATTTTGCATGATTTTAGGAAGTCAAATTTGACTTTGGCAATTAAAGTAAACACCACAACATTTTTGTCTTTCTTCTCTTCTCTTCTCTACGCCATTTCCATCTTCTTCCTTCTTCTTTCATTTTCTTACCTCCAAATTTACCACCAAACTACCTAATTAAACCATAGATTTGTATTTAATTCTTAAGAATTAAGAAGTAGAAGTTGAGTTTGGTGATTAAAAGCAAAGAGAAGTGAAGTTACCATTGAAGCAAGTAAGTTGTGGTTTTTTTGAGTTTTGTGAATTGTTAAGTAGAATTCATTGGTTTAGACATGTTATTGATGCATTAAAATCATTGCTCCAACTATTTTCTTTTTGTCCAAGCTTTGTTGTAATGTGATTTTTCATGCTTTGAAGAGGTTGAGAACCATCCTCAAAGGGGGGAAGAGTAAAGCCAAGGAGTAAGCTTTCCCAAGCTTATCTCAAGTGTTAGATAGGTTAGTGCAATCATAATTTCACTTGTTTAAGTTGTTTTTACCATGGTTTAGGGGTTTTTGAAGTAATTTTGGGAAACTTTGTATGTTTTGTCTGAAATGCTGAATTTTAATGATGAGATGTTTTCTCGCCGTGGGATTGGAAACTCATCTTTCGAAAAAAAGTTCCTGGTATGTTATAAACCCCTCCCCCCCTTGTTAATTCCTTCCCATCTTGTTTCTGACTTTCTCTCATGAAGTTCTGTAGCTCTATTGCTCAGCTTTCCAAAAACATATTCTTACTGTCTAATTCCTGATTAATAACATTGTAGCTATCAACTTTATGATTCTTAAATACCAAAAAAACTGGTTTTCTTGTGTATGATTTTGATGTCTTACCTTGTTCGTTATCCGAATGATTGGTCTTTGGCATTTTTTGATGTTTGCCACTCTAAATTGTGAAATTATCATAACGTGTTTTTATGTTTCTTTCAATAAGTAAGTTTATTTAGCTTGGTGTATTTGGGCTTCGCTTTGGTATTCTTTCCAATCCATTCTCTGCGTTTGTGTTCCTAGATATTCGGATTAGTGCCGTTTTGTGTTTTGGCGTTGTTTGGGGTTTTTTATTACATTAAGTCTTCTAACTTTTATGGCTTCTTGTAATTATTTTTACGCCAGAACGTGTCTCTGTGATGTGTTTTCTGGGTTTCCATCCATGGCGGGTTGATTACTAAATTGAGTGTCCCTATTTTTGATCCTTTATTCTTTTTGATGAGCTTCGAGGCTAAGTGTATTTAGGGTTCTGAGTTTCTTTCATAAAAGTTTGTTTGCCCTGCTTGTTGTTGTCTTTGATGAATTCGCTCGTTCTGGATTTGTGTTGCGATGTTTGTATTTTTGTTGCGGGTAAGTAGTGATGTGCAAGAAACTATTGGTACTTCTTGGGTTTGCTGTCTGAATTCCTTCCAGGGGGGTGGGGTCTGATCTGTTAGGTCTGTGTTTCTTGATGTCGTTTTTCTTTTTTGTTATTTCTTGTACTCTTTTGGGTTAGTTGCTTGTCTGTTTGTGCTGTTGTTCTTCCTTCGTGATATCAGTTGTGGTTTTGTATTTAATTTTGGTGTCTTTTGATGCGTCTTTTCTACATTGAAGCCTGATTGTCATTTCCAAATTTGTGTGGACGCCTTACTAATGGTCAAGCTTGTATGGTTTGTTATAATATAACCCTGCAATGAGTGCTCAAGTTTGATTTGAGATATATTTTGCTTTTAAAGTGTTCCTTGATTGTATTTTACTTTTTTATGTTGTGGTGATACTTATCTTATGATGTGTATTTATTATTTACTATCTTATAGTTTTGTTGTGGAGTAAATAATTGAGATTCGTTGATATGTGTGTGGTTATTTTACTAAATGAAGAGGTTTGCTTTTGTTTACTAATGAATTATTGGCGTGTGTTGGTTGATATAGTGGATTATTGATTTTGATTTGGGCTTTTCTACTAATGCATGTATGTGGAGAGTGGTGTTGGTGATGTGTATTTGGAGTTATGGATTGGTGTTGTGGTGCTGTTATGTGTTGATTGAGCGGGTTTTCTAGTGGCTTCGCAGTTTGATCTATGGGTTTGAGTCGAATCGCTTGCTTTATAAACTAGTGGTCTGCGTTTGTGACGGCCGCTTATTTTTGTGTGTTGAGTGTAGGTGTGTTGGTTTGGTCTTTCTATATATGGCCATCGGTTTTTGGTGCTTCAGTGTTTAGGCTATCTTATTGTTGTTTGATGTGGGTGGTCGGATGTGTTCTTGCTTTGTTGATGTCAGGTTAGCGCGTACTGTTGGGTTGTGTTTTCATGAGGTCTTCGTACGGAGTTTTATGGTGTATGGGGCTTTGTGTGTGTGTTTTCTGGGGTGTGGTTGTGGTTTTGGTGGGGTTCTGATTGTGATTTGGTGTGCTGGGTTTTTTTTTCTGATTTTTTTGGGGTTTTTTTGTGTTTGTTATGTGTCTTGGTTTTGCGGGGGCTGTCTTTTTTGAGGTGTTTATTGTTTGTTTTGTGGCTGTGATATTTTTATGTTTTTGTGCCACTATGCAAATATATTTTTCTGTCTTATGTGTTCATTTCTTTGTGCTTTGATGAGACGGAGCTCTTCATATCAAATATAATGAAATTTTATATTTATTACTCTTGCATTTCTTCAAGATTGACGGAAAATTTAGAAATAAATTTATGTATTAAGCAGTTAACAAAATACAAAGTTCTATATGCATATATGCATATCTTTTACCATATTTATTTATTTATTACTCTTGCATTTCTTCAAGATTGCTGCATTTATTAGTGATTAGTTCATTTCTTAAATATTGTGCTTATAAGGATTTTTTTCTTTTTTTATCACGCGCAGGTTAGGAGCGGAGGGTGTTCTTCAAGACCAGAGGACAAGCATCAGAGTAGAGATCACATTTTGGGTAGGATATTTTGTGTAACTGTTCCATTTTTGGCATCAGTATATAAGATTGTATATAGGTGTATATAATAAGTTATAATGTATTAAGATTATGATTATTGAAGAAATTAACTCTATTTATATTTTTGGTGCTATAAGTCTATATATTCCTTGAAGGATGTGTTGTAGACTATGATTGCGTATTTGATGGATATGTCTTTAGAAGATTGGATTGTTATGCTAGTGTGTTGGGTTTTTGTGGTCTTTGTTTGTGTTATGATGTTATTGTTGAATTTGGAGTTTGGGATGTTTTGGTATGGAAAATGTATAGTTGTGAGGCGTATTTTTCGTTTTGAATGTTGGGCAAGGTAAATTCGTTCAGTGTGTAGAGGATAACTCTTGCGAAAATTTTCTATGGATTCCGGTTAGAAGTGATTGTCAGACGAATGAAAAAAAAAAAAAAAACAAAATGTTATTATTTAACCTTGCCTCCTTTCTATGAATAATTTAAACCCACTTCTTAATTGTGATTCTAGCTTTAATAAGGACATAAACGGTGCTCCCTGTTGGTTGTGCAGTCCGATGTGGGTGTGGCATCCTTGCGATTGTGTTTTCGGATGGTTCTCCGGGATTGTCCGTGGGGTGTTACATAAATGGGCTATATTTAATCCGCATGATTATGCATATACTTAGATTTGCCTGTTGCAAGTCAATTAGCAAGAATTACAAGAACTCTTTCTAGATCTTGTATTGACTAGGATGAAAGGCCGAGTAAAAATGTTCACTTTCAATCATGGTCGGATTGGAAGTCTTATGTAGTTCCCAAGTTGGTTGTACCGATTCAATTTCCTTTCCCACAGAGTGAGATTTTCATTAGTACAGAGCAATTCATGCAGTAGGAACATTTAGCGCACACAAAGTTTGCTGCCCTTTAAAACAAAGTATCCCATCATGATCTTAGTAGAACTTATCAATATCTCGCATGCTCACTAGTTCCAGCGATTGAGTATGTTTGCCAAAAGTCAGAATCACTTCACATATAAGTCTTGTAACATAGGCTGCATAAATCCAAGCAGTTTAGTAACTAG